TGCCTTGGAGTATTAACATTTATTTAATTCAAATAGAATATTGGAGTTCATGCCTCCCGGTTGAATGGGATTGATCTTAGTAGAGTTTTACTGTAAGGATGACATTGTGGAACAGCTATGTAGCTTTAAAATAAAAAGTAAATGCCTGCCATCTCTGATCCAGTGTGGTTGATCTGGAGGATGAGGCTATGGATCTTGCAGTAGCTCCAGATATTTCCTAAGCGAGAGGTTCTAACCTTGTGTTTGACAGCTATGGTCACTTGATATTTTGCTCATTAATTAATCCAATGGCATTTTTGAACCTATATAAAAGTTCACATGCTGTAAAACGTTACAAAATTGTATCACAATTTACAAATTACATTTTACAATTTACATATTCTTCTTGCAAAAATCCCTGTAATATTTGGCAGGAAGTTCAGTGGTTTAACTATGTTTGTCTTCTGATACTGTTTCATCTTTCCCCCTCTTTTTTTTTTTAATTTAAAGGCATCCTGAATAATCACCTCTAATAATAATTTACCTATTCACCTGTGATTCATAAAGTGGCAAGTTAGGGCAAGAAGTCTACGTAACAGTAGAATTACAGAATGCAGAGTTTATATTTTTCTGGGCAATAATAACTTTCATTAGACAAAAACCAAACACTAATAACTTCCTATTGATTCACTGATTTTACTGAAGCTTCTGAAAGTTGTCAGTTCTAAGTAGATAGAAATTAAAATAGCAGTAATATAAGCACTCAGGAATTCAAATGTTTTGAATATATACTTCGGACTGTTAAGTTTTTCCCCAGTGATTTTAAGCAACATTGTATTGTGGAATTTATTCAAAGAAATGATGATGTTACAATGCTCAGTGATTGCATCAGAGTGATGTTATAATACATCTGCTCAAAGAGTCAGCCTTTGTTGTGGTTAAGTTCTGAGCAACAGAAGTAGTAACAGTGAGAAGGACAGGCACGTGGGGGCTCTGTGATTTACTCGATGCATTCACTGCAATGATGTACATCAGTAGACTAGGGGCCAGCAAGCAAGCTGCAAAATGGTTCGACATAAAAAGAAGATGATCAATGTAAGAAAAAGTAGTGGTGGCCAACGAAAAAATGGTTCTCGGAGGAAAAAGAAAATTTCAGCTGTTATTGTAATGTAAGTGCTGCAGTACTGATAGTACTTCTGGTTAATGTGTACAACACCTGATAATTCTGCTGAAGATTCTTTTTGTTACATTTAGTAAAATTTATATATATATATATATGTGCGTGTGCATTTTGTAAATAATAAGTAAAATTACTGATAAAAACATTTTGATGTTTTTATGTCTCAGTGTATAAATTTGCTTTATTCATTCTTAAAGAAGTGTTTTGACAATCAGCGAGTAGAAGGTGAACAATTAGATGTATTTCACAGAATGCACAGTATTGTGTATGTATACATATCTATGCACACCCATGGAAATATAATGGAAATACTAGATTTTATAATCAAGGTATAAATATATGAATAAAAGTTGACAAAAGTTACAAACTATGAAATTAGTTACATATTAGATTCTAAGAATTTGTGATGATTAAGCATAGTTTGTATGGTGCAATATATAGCCTAATTTATTTCCCTTCCTAAATAAAATCGCTATCAAATTATACATCCATCTAACCATCCATTTATTCAGATGTGTAGACCCATATATAAGCCCTGTCCCTGTAATTACAGAAGAATGGCAGTCATTAGTGAATTTATTCAAAAGCCGTTTCTAGCAATGCATATGTCATGAGTAATTTTCCCCAATATGAATCTTATTCTTCCAAAGGTCAAGCAAGTGTAGAAAATAGACAGTTATGAGATGAATGAGTAGCCTTTGTTTCCTCTCCTTAAATGTTGTTTCAGTTAGGCTTCTGAAAGAAACTGATTCTTTTTGAGAAGTTAGTAGGGTTATGTGTTGAGGGATCTGTAAGAGCTTGTGCTTATGAAGGATTGTGCTGACAGCGTAATTCTATGTTGCAGTTGCTTTCCTCATTATTTAGGAAGGAACCAGGGACACGGAAACTCTTCCTCCCCCATAGCGCACTGTTCAGTCACCTCTCATCAGAGAGCGTGGTCGCATGAAAATTACTGGTTAAGTAAACACTTCTTTCAAATTCTGTTTTCTCTGTTCTGTCTTCATAAAGTAACTCCTGTTACTATCATTTACAGACTGAATAATCCTCCTATTTTACAAGTGAATGGTTAAAAAGATTAGAGAAGCTGCCGTGTGTCTTGGTAGCCTTAATTTGTACTCCAGCGGCTCGTATCTGCAGAGCTTGGGACTTGGTCGCAGATTCAGATCTGCATCAGACTGTAGCAAACTGATGCAGAGCTCTGCTTCGTGCCACACAGTGTTGTGGAATATTCCTGC